ACTTTTCACTGAAACAACCCTTTTCTATTATGAGGTCAATAGATGTTGGGACTGGTGGCTAGTGATTGGTCTCAGCTGCTTGATTTCAGCATTTAGCCCAGCAGCCATGGGATTCCCATCTGACTTGCGAATCCATGAGGATCCTGTCGGCCCATGCGATGATAAAGATGCTCTGTTTGGCTTTGCCATGACCAACATGGACGCTTCCCAAAGTGGAGACACATAGAGACTACAAGATAATTATCCCAACGGTTACTGGGGGGGACGTTTGAACAACTCCCAGACATCGAGGCTACGAGTCGGAGCCAACCACGAGTCTTCTTCAAGGTTGATGCTGATGGGACTGACGACCAGCCTGAACCCTAAAATCAAATCCGTTGCTGTCAGATGCAGCAAGCTCCAGAAAAGCCAGCAGCCCCAAAACTCTACTCGGACGGTCTCACACCAGTCTCATGAACTATGGGGTGGAAAAGCATTCCACTCAACAAAACGCCCAGCAAACTCCCTCCCAACTGGCCTTCCAGCCTTTCCAGCAAAGAGGCATCTGCGCCAGATTGGACCTTTGTTCAGAAAGGCAGTCATGAATCCTCTTGGGGCCTTGGGGTTTTTCTAATGATGATCTGAATATGTCGCAATAGTAATAGTAAGGGACCCCCAGCTTCACAGACTATGTGGGACTACAAGTAGCTGCCCATTGGAGTAGCAAGACGCAGCCCAGTGCTTTCTTCAGCCGAGCTGCCACCGAACTGTGTGCCTCCACGATGTCTTGAACACGCACCGACTTCGAGACAGAAACCTTGGAGGAATTCCAGCATGTGGAACTTGATAGAGACGGCAAAAAGAGCGACCGCACCCAGAAAGCACGGTCATTGCATGCACAAACAGTCTTGACCGACATCTAGAGATGTGTACCGATGAAATGACCCTCCAGGTGATAGGCCCTAAGAGGCCCACTAAACAAATCCTCCTCTCGCAATGAAAGGTTGGCTGGACCAAAGCCTCTGCTGTACTCGGTCAATGAATCTGCAGCACCAAGCTCATGCCAAGTGACGTCGCCCCTGTCGCCGTCAGTAGTGGCACAACAATTGTTACCCATTGAGATGCAGCCTTCAGCCCGCGGGCCAAGGGTATGGCTGCTCCTTGAACGGTGCCGTGCACCAGGCCCGAACCTGTTATGCGATGCTCCTATGGGCTGTCCTGATGCCCGCTTGGACTGCAAATGTCAGCATGCAGAAGAGACAAAAGCTTTCCTTATATAACATATGGACGTATTTGATGTCAGTGGAGCTTGAGCCATCAATCCTGACGCACGACAGTCGCCAAGAACAGCAGCGCTGTCGAGGTTGGCCCATGAATATGAGCAACGTGCTATGAATGGGCTACTGGGCGGTGTAAAGTGGAGCTACGTGACAACATATTTGCAAGCTGCCGCTTGCTCCTGGAGGGGGCGTTGCAACCACGACAAGCAAACACAATACTCACCATAACAAGACACTTTCTCACCACGGCAAGCAATCTACCACAGCAGCACGACAAAACGCTCAGTTTTTTGGTTGTCAAGTGCTCTTCTACGAGCTGCCGGATTTCCGGCGTCCGACTTTCCGGGCAAACGTTGAACCGCTCTTCGAGAGCTTTGCGAACAGCGTCCCCCTTTTCAGAACACCAAAATGTGCACTCCCGCTGCCCCCCCCGCCGCCCCCTCTCAGAGCCCCATATTGCCTGGGAGCACGCATTTTGGA